TAAACTACTGGCCAACCCTGACATATAGCGTTGACACATAAAGATTAATATATCGTCAATAGTGTATCTGTCGGTTGTAAATAGCAGAAGGGATGAAGAATAGCAATGTTACGTTGGCTTGTTTGATGATATTACTGATAGACATTATCGCGCCTCTTATTTTAACAGCAAAAAAACACATCGTTTAAACACAGCACCAAAGGTAAAAATTAAGCCACTCTGTTAACATAGTATATTAGGATACTAAATGTTGACAGCACCCGAGAGGCTTTCCCGAAAAACTAATTCCATCATATTAGTAATTTTAGGCATAGCCACAGGACTTTCTGAGCTAGTCGTGCAGAAATGGTATCATATAAACCGCTTTTGGGGAACTTTTTCTCCTTGCACGAGCTTATCTTCAGGCTGATTCTTAAAACAGAGAATTCTAGGTTACAGCTGTCCATCAGGACCGGAGTTTTGATTCCGGGTGAGCTTAGCAGATTACTTACAGAGCATTTACCCGTCTTTCTGCAGGGACCCAACTAGTCAGAACAACAGAAGCCAAACATGGAACAAAGTACATACGCTATATGGACATATTAGCGGTCTGAGACGTTTAAAGAGTCAATTGCACGGTAGTGATTAGTAGAAGCATACACCGATGACGAAAATGAAGATATTGGAACACTTGTCAGTATATGGTATTACAGACAGCGCACTGTTCGTTCCTTGGGGATGGTATAACAATTTAACCTCGCATTTCATCACATTTGTACTGTACGTATATCTATTTATGTAACCGATGTGTTACAGTTGATTAAACCAGAATACTATTGTTTCATAAACGTCCCAGAAGACAAGCTCTGGAGGTCATGAATGTATAGTTGAACGAGTATAAAATTTAGATCCAAGAACCTTATAAGTCACGGAACGGCTCGACCTCGGCCTTCACACTGGGACGTCATCTTCCCGTGTTGGGATTGATGTGTTTTCGTTTACCATTAATTATGAGAAATAATAACTGGACCGAGATGTCTTGCTGAAAAACCTATATGTACAACATAACCAAATATTACTTGAATATTACTTCAAGTTACATAAAAGCATCAGCAAACAAATTAATATCAACACCCTCGTTGTATTCCTGGATGCACCGGTTCTTTGTCAGCTGGATGATAGTCAGCAGCCATTCAACAACATTTGATGATGGTATCTTTATATCCAATGAAATGTTGAACCTTATTGCTTTGTTGTTTGCTGATGATTTGATACTTACTGCATATAGTGTTGTTAAGTTGCAAAGACGATTGGATGCTCTACATCATTATTCTTAAAGACGGGGTATGGACATTAATGTACCTAAAAGTAATACAATTGTCTTTTAAAATGGGTGGACCTCTGTCAAAATATGAAACATTCTTCTTTAATGGGAATCCTATGGAAATAGTAAACGCATATAAATATTTGGAGTTAATGATAACGCTTAAATGGATATGGGCTAGAGTCAGTAAAACATTAGCGGAGCAATCAAGTAAAGCATTATGGCCTATAAAATCGTTGATCAGACGTTTTGAATTTACAGTAAAAGATGCTTTCGTTTTATTTGATAAAAAATATTACTCCAATTCCTACATATGTGGTTGAAATTTGGGGTTGGGAAGAAAGGAGTAATATTGAAATTATTCTTAGGAAGTTTTTGCAAATTTGCTCTCCCTTTTAGGTTATAAATCGTCGAATGCTGTATCATACGGGGAGTGTGTAAGGTGTCCACGTTATGTTTCCTATCATATTAAACGTACTAAGTATTGGCTACGACTCTTACGAATGCAACGCCAAATACATGCTTTCCAATGTTACAATATGTTGTTGTCCATTTTTGAGAGAAAAAGGCCAAGTTGGGACAATCAAATAAAATATTTACCTTTTCGTTATGGCTATGGTTTTGTTTGGATAAGCCAAGAGGTTGGGGATCTAGACCATTTTGTTTATAACTTTAAAGAATGTGCTTATTAGAACTGGCACTATTCTCTTCTGAGTGATTCTTTCACATTTTATCATTCTCATAAGTCTTTGCTTAGGAGAGTGAAAAATATTTGTTTTGTTCATATGAGCATAGACATGTATTAACTTTATTTAGAAGTGGATATCTGAGTAAGAAAAATGTCTTTAGTAATAACTCCTACATTTGTAAACACTGTAATGTAATGCTGAATGAAAACATGTCCTGTATGATTGTATATATTTTGTAACAGAGAGAAAGCGTTTCATCCCAAATTGTAGTAGTGGTAATCATAATAAGGTTTCAAACCTATGCCAATCAAATAATACCATCTTTCTGTTAAATCTTGCTAAATTTCTTAACCATGTATTTGAATGTATAAAACAAGAAAAAGTAACTCTGTAGAATCTTGTTTTATATCAGTTGTACTTTGGGTCATATGGCCTTTCTACAAATAAATATCTTGAATCTTGAATCATTCAACAACAGGAGGATACTGTTTGCAATACCAGTCATAGTTAGCCCAATAAATGTAAATGTCGTAAATGGTGTATATTGTGAGACACCTTTATGATATAACGTGTCCGGTCCTCCGATAAGATATTCAAGAAATCGGATTCTGGGAACTTCTGATCGTACACATTAACAAAGTACAGGTTGTACCAAACACAACCCCGGATTTACATTTGGACATTTCAGTGACCACACACATGCAGTTATGTGAGTGTGTCAAGTGATGAGAAAAACCTTTCCACACATTCGAAAACCATGGCTCAACAATGAAGGCAAGGGTAAAGGCTGAATAGTATTTCCGTCGCCATCCTATCGTCCACAGTTTTAATAAATGCAAGATTTTGAATGCTAAAGCATGGCATTATTATCACCAAAGTGAATGCCAATATTGCCGACATTATGTATCAAACATATCTTAATAACACAGGCATAAAGCAGACTGTACATGGTAAAGACAAAGGCGGGAAGATCAGACCTGTATAACATTGGAATAAAGCAGTGACTTTAATCGCTCCATGTGTATCGAAACTCTAAGAGATAGTTATCAAGCCTCTACTCTCGAACAGGACGTGGCACAGACATTGTCCTCTTATGAATCAGATGTAGTAGTTCATGACCATATGTCGGATGCATAACGATCTCTTCTGTCACCGGGCTGGCTCACCATGGGAATCTGTCGGTGAGCTAATGAGTATGATACTAGTGTCAGCGGTGATCCAAAACAATTAGACTGCTTGTGTGGAGGCAGTTATCTGCCTGAAGAATTATGCCCGAGGACAGGACAGAAACCGATTATCTGTCTGATCGCCGAGAGACAGTGACCACTGAAGCAGACGCAATTGATTTGGGTCACTTTGCATTTTTCTTCCCCCTCGTCGACCCGATTGAAGAGTCGGCGTCGTTTGTTATCAACAAAGGTGATCATAGTGATTTGAACGAACTAAACTGTTTGTTAACTGTCTTGTCGTGAATAAGCTGCTCTTTGCTGCACAGTTGCACGTTCAAGTCTTACATGCAGCTGTTGTTACGGTTTGATTTGATGTTGTCAACGATTTGCATGTTTATAGTCTCAGATGGGATGCACGATCATTTAATTTGGATAAGTCCAACTGAAACATTTAACGCTTCTTTCAGTTGTTTTGTATTCAACTAACTAGTGCATCAAATTATTTAAGCTGACACTAAAAGCATAAGGAAAATAAATAAACGTGTTATTGTTTACCGTATATTGTTTGTTCAAAGTCGAACCACTTATTAATAAATATAATTGTTCATATACAAGAAGATATGAGTTTTGTATATCTGTTAGTGTTATGATATTTTAGCAAATTGGTGAAAGCAGACTGTACACATTTTCCTTAATTGATACCACGGAATGATATACATGATACTGGAATGAAGTGGCGTTATATCTTAATAAACCTTAATAATGACCCTTTCAAAATCTACTATTATATTTCTGCCAAGATTGTCGATTGTACCATTGCGATTATATCATGAGTTTACGAATCACTGTCAAGTTGTATGCTGCACAACCGATGGCACCCGTCAAATACAAAAGCTAAATGCGAATGAAATGGTCACCTGAAAACACTGGAAAATATCGTACAAGTCAAAGTTGGTAATTGTACTGTACATTATTTCTGTCGCCGAGACGTTCAACTATAAAATGTCCTCGTCACTTATTCCATGAAACTTCCGAAGGTCTTGAATGTTACAACACTGAGTGGGATGCCGCTGTTTGAAATCCTGGTAGAAAGTGCATGCGTTATTGTACCTCAGTTGTGAAATGCATGTACAAGGTTGGAGCTGTGGAAATATTGCTTGTCACAGACGGAAAGTTGACCATTGGAATAGTGAGATCATTCTTCTTGTTGAACAGCCCAGTGGGCAGTTTTCTGTCTTTCTGAACCTTTTCTTATTTCTAGTTCAGTTGGGGAAATCATTAAAGGGGAAGTGGCAACTTGCTGATTATTGATGGATAGCTCAAGCGTCTTGCCGAAATCGATTTGTTTTGAACTTTGCAAGCCCGAGGAAACATTTAAATTCAAATGCATAAAGAAGTCGATCCGCAAGATAGGAATGTCTACTTCTACGCATGTTTTAGCCAAAATTGTACATAGATGTTATTGTTGAAGAGTTCAACGTTTTTAATATATTGTTATCTCAGTAAACATGAGATGACATTTTGCTTTTGTCCTGAATCCCGGAAGATAGATATCTAAGTAGTTAAGGAACGTCCTATTCACTTTTGTCAAAAGCAATTTGCTGCACGTAGTTACCATTAAGTGCGAATTAATTAACTTTTCGTTCAATACTGCATCACATCTAATCTTTGAATCCTGAGTCTTATTCTATTTTAGTCTAATATCCTTGATTCTAAGATGCTTCGGTGAAAGATAAAGACGCCGACAGTACTTTATCAGACGATAACGTGCTCTTTTTGTATTACGTCACAATGTATTGGCGTCACTGTGCCATTCTAGTCTGCCCCTCGTTTTTTGCATTACGTCACAATGTAAGCGACGTCACGATGGATGTCAACTGTCATCGCCTCGTACAGCTTCCAACAGTAAACTACTCCTATGCATCTCGTTTCTTGGTTTGCCGTTGCTTCACTCGGCTAACATCACTGGTGGAAACATTACGTTTATGTTTTCCGACGGATAAAATGTCTCAGTTCGACTCACAATTGTACAGCTACACGGTAACCTTCGCAATGTTTACATCCCCACAATGCAATCGTGGAATGTCGCTTGACCAGTCAGCTTCACCTGGATGTACTGATCATTTTGCCCCATATGGTTTACGTTTATCACAGATGTAATTAAAATAATTTAGAGAAGATATTTAACCCGAACGTTCGTCTTAACGTAGGGGGCAGACACGTCAATAGAACAGCGCGCCAGTTAGCCCTGTGCGAGGATTCTTCATTTAGGTCACCGACACCGTCGTTTGTTTTCTGCCAGTAGATTAATAGTAATTATCCTTAGAAAGTATTAAATTTGGCATCTTAGAAAAGAAATACAGTTCGCTCTACCACCTTGTATAGTGTAATAAAGCACACTTTCGCCCTGAACTATTATAGTTAAAGCACGAGGATGCTTAACACACTATACATGGTGGTCGAGCGAACTGTATTTCTTAAATGCATTACTTCATAATGACGATACATTGACTTAAGTCAAATTACGCTTGATAGATAACAGTTAACAGATAATTGTGAACAGACAACCATACAGATATCACTGAGGCATGCCAGCCTTAGAGGCACATCAATGTCTACTCATGATACACACCTATGTTTCATTTCATACCACTGTCTCACATAACATTCCCATCCACCGAGTCATTAAGGATAGTCTCAAAATAGTGTTGCTGTAAACATATTCGGACGAAAAATTCCAAAATGTTATGGCTGATGAACAATAGAAATTTGAATTACGATCGCATAGAAACTTCACAGAAAGGTTAGAGTGAGTGAGTCAATATTTAACGGCACATCGGCAATATTTCAGCGATATCGTGACGAGAACCTATTTGACATTGAAATGTAATATGTGTATATTATAAAAACCTGTCTGCAAAGGACAGTAAAACAACTAGAATATCACAATTACAACTAAAACTAGTGTGGAAATTTAAAACTAATAGCACTATTTGGACAATACAATATAAAAACTGGCTATACATCGCCAACCACTGAAGGTAGATCACCATACTAGGGACCATGGGGACTTACAGTGCTTTTGCTACCTGCATGGACCCTAGCTGGATTTATATCATCCCTTCAGCCGCTGGCGATTGAAGTCAAATTTAGCCTAAATTAAAATGACAAAAATACTACATTTAAAACAGCTGGTAAATATAAATCTCCGTTGAATGTTTCGGGACTTACGTACCGTCTCCGGAGGACAATAATTTTACGCTACTTCAACCCCCTTTGAGGGTACAGCCACTAACAATCTCAGTTACTAATTTAAACTACCAATAATAAAATATGCATCTATTTACAAATCATTCAACAAAGCTAATTCTTTTAAAAATGCAATAATTAAATGAGAACTTATATTATTTAAAAGATCCTTCATAGTTCGTGATTTGAAATAGTTATCCCTTGTGATGGAATATGGGGCGGTGGTGTAATATTCAACACCGAATTCAATCATGGTACAATGTGTGAAGCCCATTTCTTGTCCCCAGCCGTGATTCAGATTGCTAAAAGTTAGTCAGTCAGTCAGTGTGATCCATTTCAGTGCTGTGTTGATTCTAGATATGCTGTGTTGACCTGTAAATATACTTCCGCAGACATTGTTTTGTGGCCGTGAAACTGAAGAACATGGATAAGGGACAAGATAAACTAAGGATCATGAGCAGCGTTAAGTTTGTAATTCGACTCACTCAGTGAAAAGTGAGAATTAGTTCCCTGCCTTTCAGATACTGGTGCTTTGACTTCCAAATAAACGATTGCTTCGTAAAGGTAAGTTTACGCTAAAAGGCTAACCACGATGCTTTCATCCATATCATTAATGTATTAATTCCAAACGTTGCAATTTTGCAAGCCATTGTCGACGTTTCATTAAATAATAAACTAAAGATGTTATTGAAAGTGAAAACATGTTTAACAAAATGAAGAACTATATCACACGGATCACTTTAAATGTCAGAGTTTCCCACTCAGAGTGATGCAGTTTTTCGTTCACGTTGTTACTGATTCACTTTGTGGTCTTGTAATTCGTAGAAGGGATGATTTGGGGAAGAAAGACAACCAGTAGTAATAAGACCGAGATTAACGTTCCCACTTTTGCTGAAGTGACGAGATCTACATCTGCGTGTAGTTGACCTCCTTTCCTGTTTTAGTTGTCACAAAATGTAGATTGCCTTTCCCCTATCTTCGTACTGATGAAACCTAGATATCCTTTCCCGCTCTTTCACAAGTAACGAGATCTCGACAGACCATTGGTTATGAATGTCTAGAATGTTTTGGCCCTTGAGTATATCACTTACTACAATACGCAAAGCCCAGTATGAGATGACCACAAACATCTCAATCGATGCGACAAGCGTACACATTCTAGAACCATTTAATGACCGCCATAAAAGTGCTGATGCTCTTCATGGCAACGTTACCAACGGGAGATGGCTAGTCCTCCTTTTCGGCGTCAAAACAACAATTACTTCTGACAGATATTACCATTCGTCCAATGACGGCGGCCACATCACAAATTATATGAATATTTATTATGCATAGGACCATGTGATGGTGAGCTTATCAGCAAATCATTTAGAACCTTCCCCGAGGCCAGTTGTGATCATTCTGGTCTACTTTCTTCATACGCGTTCATTAATCCTGCTGCAAATGAAGCGGCCTTGAAGGCTGAACATAAGCTCCAGTGGGATAGTGGGAAGTAGAACTTCCGGTGTAATTACAGCGGAACTGACGTCACAGTCAGTGTCATTTGTTTTTATGATTGATACGAGTGACACATAGTACCAAGTATTACCTTCATCGTGTATTCTGTGAGGTACACAAACAGCAAACAAGTAATTGTTGCACACACGGGTCCAAGACTCTCCACTTTTGGAATGAACAAGGCAATCCAGAGTAACCCTTCCTTGTACCACTTGTTGATCGATATGGAAGTGAAATTTGGGGCTATACTTATAGAACGTGTATTGAAAAGGTTCATAGTGAGTACTATAAAAGATTTCTGTCAGTCAGTAAAAAAACTGCATCATGTCCTGTACTTGGAGAAATTGGCAGATATAACTTGTGTGGACATTACTTTTCAAGGTGTATTAAATATTGGTGCCGAATTATTCGTATGGACCAAAATAGATACCCAAATGTCTGTTATAAGATGATGAAAGCCTATGATGATAACGGAGGCACAAAATGGGTTTCACATGTTCGAATGCTTCTATCTACTACAGGTTTCTCCTATGTCTGGTTAGCCCAAGATTGTGGCGATGTAAATCACTTCAATGTTTGAGTTCAAACAACGCTGTATAGATATTAATATACAGCACTGGAATAGTAAAATAAGAAACTCATCATTTCTTGTAAATTATAGTACATTTAAGTCACTTCTGATTGATTTAAACATATTTTATTCACAAATGTGAAAGGGATTGGGGACAAGTTATCCAACTTAAAATACCCGCTCCCTTGTCACTTCTTGAACCTGAACTGTATATTTCCTGTGGCGCATTAAACAAAGATCTTATGCGAATGTTGATCAAATTCCGATGCCAATCACATAACTTGAATATACAAAAGCACCGTTTTTCAAAGATAATTGTCCCTAATAAAGAATTTGTTTGTAACAAATGTGATTTAAACGTGCTTGAAGACGAATATCACTTGCTGCTAATATGTCCATTTTATAACCGATGCAGATCCCAATGTATTCCAGCCTATTTCTTCAGCCCACCTTCAATTGTCAAATTCCGAGCCCTTATGAAGATACACAGTGTCACTGTTCTTAAAGGAATATGTATATTCCTGAAGCAAAACTTAAAAGAATTGTATTATGAATTATATTTCAACTCTACACACCATGACAATGTTGTATTACCTGTTGTACTCTTGGCCACATGGCCTTCAATTCTGAATAAAGTGATCAAGTACTTGTTGATCGATATGGCAAAATATATGTTTTGAGGTAGCTTTGCCGTTTCATCGGAATGTGCAACTAATTGAAATCATTTGTACGCATTCTGTACGCTTCTGATTATATCAGAGAAATCTATTTATGAAGCACTATGAAGCGTAAACTATATGTAAAATATAGATCAGTAATAGAAGTGTATCCCAGTTGCGCAGATTGATGCTCATGCTGTTAATCATTGGATTCTCTCGTCCAGACAAGGGTATTTATAGACTGCTGCCATATAGCTGGAATATTGATGATTGCAGCGTTAAAAAACAAAAACAAACAGAGATCACCGTGATGCATTTATCAATCACTATGAAGCGTAAAATGTTCAGCCGTTGGCTGAGTATATGTACAAAAATGTAGATCAGTAATAGATATGTTAAAGTAGACAAATGTTTGTGTGTGTGTTTGCGTGTACGTGCGTGCCACAGGCAACATAAACAGAGCTTCTTTTGTTATATTTCTGCACAGGGCAGCTGTGCCGATTATCCACTAAACGATGTAATCGCACGTGTGTATTTAGACAAATTGCATGTGGTGTGTGACGCATTATTCTTGAAGAATCAGAATATAAATTCCGTGTCCAAGCTGAGTGATTAATGACTAAAATACTCATTGACTTCAGAAATAACCATTATCAAACAACAACAAAAGTACAATGACCTCACATCTTTTTCATTGAAACCTACAACCGATAGGTGGCAGTAAACTGGCTTACATGTGAATTGGCAAATAAAGCTATGGGAAATATTCAAAGATCGTCATTAAACAGAACATAATTGGATTCAATATGAAACAGCAAATTATTTTAGTTTGTTTAGTTCAAAATTGTTCCGTGAGAGGGATACAAAAACATTATCGTTCATGATAAAACAAATCACATCACAGCAAATCTAAAATGCCTAAAATTGTTACAGGTTGATTCCAAGATTGAAACATTTAACCAGAATCAGAACTCCACCCAACAAAAGTACTAGAATCTGTACTTTACTTGGAAAGTGTTATCCCAAATGTAACATGTGTTACATTTGACCACTTTGTAAATAAGATTGTGTAATGTCTGAGTAAGCATTTATGTATCTACCTGCATTTGTAAGTTCAGACGCGAATTCGGGGTGCGGATGATGACATACATAGACTTGAGCTGTTAATTAATTTTAGTAGATTTCCACTATTGCAACTACCAAAGTGCTGTCTTCCATGACTAACCAAAGAAAACAGGTATTACTCATAAATCAAACGTCGGCATCACAGCGACTTATTTGGTTGAACATCGCTTTTTAGGAGAAACTCAGTAACATCACTGGGTTTTGCGGAGGATCCAAGAATCATAATTACAGTTAAACTAGGATGAAGAACCCACGACCAGCATGATACTGCGCATGGATTGCTGTACGTGCGATATGCCATTTTCTGGGCCAACGACAACGACAAGTCGGAGAGGTTTTATGGTTATACTAGCATGGTTTCCACGAGCCTTGGGCGATGAAGGGAGCTCTGAAGACCAAAGGCCGGATATGCCAATGACACATTGTCACTGCCACGGCGGGGCTGATGACACACACCAAGTGCATCTCATTAGTGCGCATGACGAAGGAGAAGAGGAGTCTGAAGATGTTAAAAGGATGCATAGACGTAAGAAACATAGTATTGCAATAGCTGGTCGCAATAGACTATCGCTATCGCAATCGTTGTTTCTCCCTCAATTGTCACACATAGAGGAGGGAAGGTCGCAGGATATTTGGTCGATGTAGCGATTTGCAGCAAGATTGCCTTGAACCACCACTAGCTCTGATCTACCTGCGTAGGACATGACCCTTGTCCACCTATCGAACGCAGTTCGGCGCAAAACGTTCGTATAGACGTTGATAGACACTTTGTCTTTCATCCCGTTTCCCATTCATCGCTGAACCAAACGCGTCGACAGTTCCCAAGGTTCCTTGCCTGTACCCTGTTGCACCATTGGACACGTCATCGTCGGTGTAGTCGTGTCTGGACAGGTTCAACGTTTGGTCGATGTGCTCGAACCCCCACTTCGCACAGACGATTGCTGATGGTTTGGTCGGAAATTCTTCGAAGACCAGGCACGTGTCCTGCAGTGTCCGCTGCTGCTGCAAATCGGTGACGTAGGGGTGAAACACCCGGATGAATCGGTCCAGAGCAGGAGTGGTAACTCTTGGTCTTCCATGCACTCCTGGAACGATCTTGGGCCGAATTAAAGCTGGTATATCGATGCCATAATGGAGATATGGTGCTGTGGTTGAAGTTGAAGTGTCTTGCAACTGCAGACTGGGACTCCCCTGCTTCCGAACGTCCAGTGGCGATATTTCAGTCAGTATCATCCAATCTTGGCTTTTTTTATCATCGTTTACGTCGTAGATTTCGAAATGAAATGATAAATTTGGTTTGGTCTTTTGTAGTCGAGGTCTCTACTCTTGTTTCCGACACATTGCATGTGCATTGCGAGGAAAACCTTTTCTGCATGCATTTTTCATGTATCGATTACAAACACATTTTGGGATGCGCTCAATACACAACAACCACGACATGATTAACGGGATTCAAACCTTGGAATTGTCTTAATGAATATTGCTGTCAAAATATATCAAAATGAACTGCTGAAAACGCTTGTGCGTTTCTTACTGTTGAAGAATGTTTATTTGTCCAATCTGAACAAAACCATATTACATCAAATGGGTAGCACCTTTACCACTCTTTTAATGTTCGGTAAGTTGCATCCCCAATTGTTATTGACCATTTAGAGTCAGATAGATCTTTCAAAATATGAGTTACATTGAAAGAGGAAATGATGTTATTTAATCATCAACGAAAATTAACCAAACCCTACGAGGCTAATCAAAGCGAAAGTCTTGGTCACTGAGGTAGTTTATATCATCGTGGCATTTTTCAAGCTTGAGGATACCGTTAGTGGCTTCTTGCAATGCGACATCAAAAGAAAGGAACTACTATCCTATTTATTACAATAGACCGAGTCACGGTGAAACGGTATTCCGTTCAGTAGAAAGTGAAGACAGGCAAAGAAGTTGTGTCAATGACTTGCTGGGTTCAATACGATTCAGTCAGTCTCACGGTGCTTATTATAACAGCACTAGTTTAAAGGCACACACACTCTGTCGATTACGATTGTGAATATGCTCTTTGAAAAGAGATGTATTTTGTGTATGTTAAATATTTATTTTTTTCATAATGGTCGACTTTGAGGCGTCATGTCACAGACATACGCTTGAAAACATCAGTTCACGTCAGCGACAATATGCAAGTTTAGATGTTCAAAGTTGATATGTTATATTTTGTTCTGTAAGTCTATCAACAGTTACCTTTAGATGCCATGCTGAAAACATGCTTGAAAGCATTGGGGTTACTTTTAAGTGACGGTGGCTGGCCCAAGTGTGCCAAAGGCTGTACAGGGAAGATTAGAGTAATCAACGTACTTCCTGTGGCTCTTTGATAAACAGGATATTGTACAAAAGTTTTGACTCTTGTTGAATTCACTCGAAGCCCTGGTGTAAGTCTTGCAAGTGTTTTAGGGTAGGATTGCAGAGATTTATGTTGTCCATGGATAATAGCATTTAAGGTTGAGAGGAATATTTCACGTGCATGAAAAACAAGTGTAATTTCTGTTATTGACTGTTGGTGTATTGTAAAAAAAAAGGTTTTTCTTTAGGACAGAAAATCAGTTAGAGAAGAAGGTAAGCATTGTTAATAGTACACACAAAGACCTAACCCAGTGAAAACACTAAATAAATATGTGCTGTTGTTAATAAAGTATAGTTAGATTAAATAAATGTTTGGATAACCACGATCTGTTTGGAGCCACGAATTATTTTATTTCTGCACACTTGCTGCAACAGACATTTCATATGTATGGTAGAAATAATGCATTTCCTCATAAGAAGCAACAAAAGACGTCGAACATTATCACCTGATGAAGGAGTAAGAATACGTCGTGTTTCTGATAATAATAGAAGTTGACATCCATGAATATTGCCACATGAATGAACATCACTTGTAATTACCATTTAAATATCAAATATTTGAATAATCTCAAGTTCAGTTCAAATGTGTATCCACAAATAATGATTACATGTAGCATCTTAATGCACTAACACAGAATTATTTTACACATTCTTCATCATTATACAACATATGACCTTTTTGTGTCACTGTAACGACCATCAATGACAAATTTATGACAATTTTAGTCTGTGTAACCTTTACGATGCATTCTCCATCTATTCCAAAGCTCCGTCAGTGTACGAAGGTCTAGGCTGGAGAAAACTACATCCATTTTCTAAGAATTCATTTGCACGTTTTATGACATAACTGACTTAAACTTCTCAAATATCACACTTTTGCGTCCAAAGGCTCTGTCATCCTTAACACGAAATGACTTTCTATAGCTTAAAATGTTCGTCAGCTTTTGCTTTTGTGTTCTACAATCACGAGGAAGTAAGAAACACAGTGGTTTGTTCAGAAACTGCGCAGAGAATATATTTTCATCAGATAATGTTCCGCTGTGTGATATTCTGTTTTATGTATTTCAGTTAAAAATGTACACTGGGGATAGAAAATGAGCCGCATGACCAAGAGTTGTGTTGTGTGTTTATGTGTCGTCTGATAGCCCGTAACAGTTCATGAACAGGTACAATCGTCAGCTTTAGGTTTAGCTCTTTCCATTAATAACACAGGCATACCAAACATCACTCTTATTACTCAACGTTTTGGGGTTTGCATCGTGTGTTCGGTCGCAGTAATTGCTGTCGTTATAACTCTTCATGGTGTCATTGAAAACAAGTGGCACAAGGTTATTACAAAACATTATCCATGTGGGTCTTCGGCGTGACGAGCGAACGCTTTAACCACTAGGCTACCCCACCGCCCCCAAACTGTTTTGAACCTCTTTTGATATGTAACGAACATGTAACAAAATCCCTGAGAATGAAGTTTTCCTACATTTGTGATCAGGCATAGCGAAGTAGAAGAATCCAGTGTTCAGACAGAATTGAACTCGGTTCGATTCTGAGATTATAAACCAGCAAGCAAATCTACATAGCATTTAGTCCACCTGTATCAAATACTCTCTATGAAAACGGGGGGAAAACTCCGTCCTTGATTATATTCAGGATCATGGTTAATCAGAGCCAGGGGTATGACAGTACGTTTGTTGGGCCCAGGAATTCTCTGCACGGTTTGTTATGGAGCTTTGGAATCCGATACAAATGAGCAATGGACATGTCCTCAGGTTTTACGGTCATGCCCAAACGTGACCTATAGCGTGGGGGCGTTTCCTAATACTATCTGGTTAAATTATCTTGGCTGTTTTCGGAATCCATACAATCTATCAATGTTGTCTACAAATACGTATTTCAGTTATTCTTACTCTTTATCTCTATCTGTTCATATAAACATTTTGTGTGACAATTCAGTACTGTCCAAAAAAATTGGAACTCAGTTTGTCAAAATGAATTGTGAATCAATATTCATATGAAGCTTACTTTCTTTATAGACTGAATTGTTAATGGTATGATGTATGTGTGGATACCAGCTAGGCTATGGCTATTGTCTTGGTAATCATGGTATACATTTTATCGGTTTTGTCCTTTAGCTGTTTCGGCATTTTGTACCAAATGTCAATCAATCAGACACATGCTATTAGACTTCAATGACAAGATTTGGTCTCAATGAGAAACACTGACACTAATACATATTCGTACCTTGTGTGGATACTATAAATAAAGTTTGACACAATTTAATAAAGCTTCAGAAATTTCCTGATCTAATGAGTCCCAAATTTGATATGACTGGCTATAAGTACTAAGGTAGGTATTGATTACTCTGCCTGTCTGTCATAATATGTGGAAACGTAATAGATTTTCAGACATGATACATACTCGTGATTATAACGCCACGTGTCCTCACATTCCTTATACGACTTGTCTAGCGTCTGTTTTCACCCACCACACCATACATATATTCCCTCCGTCCACTTCAATCCTGGATGTTTTCTCTACTCTAGAGTGGTGTGGTGTCTATGCAATATCAATGAAGTCAAAGCCAGTACACCATAGTGTCCACCAATATATAATGATGTAACTTTCAACGTCCTTAAAACGTTGCACTGAACGGGTGTACAACGGATCAAACGATAACCACTATTGATTGAATGCAGACTTGACATACATGTTTTGCATTTTTATGATGTTCCATAATAAACAAATGTAACATTGAATCCCATAGTTTTCCAGTTCACAACATTCAATATTCTGATTTACAAGGGTTAGTAATGATATATCCTAATGACCATATTATCCTGTGAAGTGGGTGCATGTTCCTGTTCCATTTTGTTTCGTTATCCATTTGCGAAGATATTTATTATCACAGGATTACAACCTAAACACTTCCTTTCTCTAGAATAACTATGGACAATAAAGGTGTAGGCGGATATGTTTCTTCTGTTGCAACCTTCTTTTTCGAAGTACGACAATCCAAGTTGTTGCTCAAACTCAGTAACACGTGCACGTAGGACATGACCATTCAAGCAAGGAACACCATCGACCGTATGATAATGCCATATATTAGCTATTACGATTGTCACATTGGATGGATTACAGGTTGATGGTGCTGGTGACCGTATTGGTGGGTAAAACATGAGCACTGGCTGTACTTCATTCAGGACTTCAAGAACCCGCCTCAATACCACTTATTTACATTGTGGCAGGTACTTGGGGTTTTTTTGAGAATCGTCTTCTTGGACTATCGTTGAAGACGACTTAGATTTACACCAGGTAACAAAAAAACTATATCTCTAACATATTTTTCTCTGTACCGTGAACGCCTAAGATCTGGTTAACCTTAATGAGCATTGCAAGAAGAACAAGTAGACATTGTTTCCAGTCAATGGCCTTCCTATCAACCTACGAAGTGAGTGTTTTAACTAGCTCGTTTGCAGCTTCTCTAATACTTTAAAGACTGATATCAATGTGAAAGGTATGTCAGTTCCGTATCAGGCAAATAACACAGGTGAGAACAATTATACAAAGATGCCTCATTTATCAAATGCGACCAAAGCAATTGTCTCTTTCACTGTTTGAATTAAATTGCATTTTAATTATGAATGAAAATCAGTTTATTCTTTTACGTTACCACACTATAGAAATGTAAAGTTCATATTGACATTTGACAGGGGCCTGATGTCGACTTATAATAGTCGTGACACATAAAGACTAATTATCCGTCGGTGTCAAAGCAGAAGGAGCAATGCCATGTTCGCTTATTTGATTATATTTCTTAAACACATTATCGTGCCGCTTACATTTACAGTAGCAACACATCACCAGGGGTAAAAAAGCCACTCTGTTAGCAGAGTATATTGGGATACGGAATGCCTTTTTTGCAATTCCAATTTTAGTTAGCCTAGTGAATGTAAATGGCATATATTCTGAAAGACCATTATGATACAAGGTGTCCGTACCTCCGAGAAGATATTCAAGAAATCAGATTCTGTGAGTCTTGGATGTGTTTTATTGATAAGCTATAGGTTCATAACAACACACAATCCCAGCCTTACATTTCAGTGACCATTAACATGCAGTCATTTTTGACTGTTAAGTGATAGAAAAATATTGAAACAATATCATATTAGAGAAATGGAAAACGCCAGTGACCCCTGTTGATGTCTATTAATGTCAAATTGTATTTAAAAAGTACACTCGTCAACAATAAGAATGCTATGCACATATCACCCACCAGGACATGTGGCTGATTATGTTTTCTAAACGGAACCGTACGATACCTTCATCATTTTGGACAAAACAACTATCGTGTTCTATTCATGACATTCTGAAGACGCCGGCCATATGAAGTTCAAGAAGAAAGAATAATTGTACCAATATATAATTTGAAGATTGTTCCGACACCAACAAAGGAAAACACACGAGATTGTAAAAATGGCATCAAAATTGGTATTATCAAAACTGACTTATATGAGGACACCAACGTCCTATAACCTTTAAAAAGTCGCAATTTCATGAAGTGAGTACTGTCACACCGTAAGAATGGAACCTTGCTCTTCGATTAAGAAAGACGTCAGACTACACACATGTGTCCATTACACATTGCCCCTTTGATGTTGGGCTGTCATCATATACACACCGAAGCGCCAACGACACATGTGCTTCCTGAGCTTACAGTATTGTAGAGAAAGTAAAGTAAAAAGGGTTTTATACAAATTAGTGTGTCTCCAGCTACGCTTTGATGTAACGCGCTCTTTGGGGATGAAAGTATGGCGATCCTCACGCTTTACAAAAGCAGAAGATAAGCGTATCGGAGTGCCTTTCATTCATGCCACTTTGTCATTCATAACAGTCACTGTTCAGTAACATTCCTTTTAAGACATCATAACATCTTACATCTGTTCTTCAAATTCGATGAGGATAACATTTTACACATCATCAAGTTCAAACTAATGTACTATTTGGTAACATCTATGCCGTTCGCCTCCATTTCAAACCACAAATGGACCCGTGAAGGTCCGGGTTAGAATGTACCTTCAGTAACCCATGCTTGTCGTAAGAGGCGACTAACGGGATCGGGTGGTCAGGCCCGATGCCTTGGTTGACACATGTCATCGGTTCCCAATTGCGCAGATCGATGCTCATGCTGTTGATCACTGGACTGTCTGGTCCAGACTCGATTATTTACAGACCGCTGCCATATAGCTGGAACATTGCTGAGTGCGGCGTAAAACTAAACTCACTCACTCACTCAAACCACAAATGATACTAATCGTGTTAGACGTATGTATACATGTGGTTGACTTGCCAAGGCGAAAAGATTAGATCTTTCTACATACTTGTAAGAATAAAGCAGTGACTCATACTGATTGGTCAACTCGCTCCATGTATATCTAAACTCCAAGACATATTCATTCCGGTTTCTACTCTCGAACAGGATGTGGCACAGACAATTTCCTCTTATGAATTATGTTGTAATTTTTGACCATATGTCAGAAGCTTAACAATCTCCTCTGTGACCGGACTGGATCTCCGGCAGGACCTGTTGGAGCACTAACAAGTATGGTACTAGCGGTGTGCCTGAGACAATTAGACTGCTTGTGTAGAGGCAGTTATCTGCCGGTAGCCTTATGCCCGAAACCGATTATCTGTCTGATTGCTGATAGACAGTGACCACTGAAGCAGAAGCAGTTGGTTTGGGTCACTTGGCATTTTTCTTCCTCCTCATCGACCCGTTTGAAGAGATGGCCTCGTTTGTCATCAACAAAAAAGTTCATGGTGAATTGCGTGAACTAAATTGTTTGTTAACTGACCTGCTCTTTATTACACAGATGAGTGAGTGAGTGAGTTAATATTTATCGTCACATCGGCAATATTTCAGCCACATCGTGACGAGAACTGTTTATAATTATATTAAAGATCAATAAAGTTAGACATTAAATAACCTGTTGACGAAGAACAGTAAAACTACTAGTGTATCACAGATATCCATTTAAAACTAGCAATTAAATCTAAAATATTGGAACTATAAATGACAATACAATATAAAAACAGGCTATAGATTGCCAACGACTGGGGGTAATTACACAGATGAACGTTCAAGCCTTACACAGAGCTGGTTTTACAGTTTAATTCGATGTAGTCTACGATTTGCATGTTTATATCCAGAGATGAGATCCATCGTTTCACCCTCGGTGCTTCCGCAGTGTGGTATTAAACAAGGTCGTTGTACACGATATCACGGTGACACCTGAAATAACACGTTGACGAACGTTACAGGAACGTTATAATTTGCATTGCTGTTGCAACGATAGTGACATAAAGGCAGAGGCTTTAGTGTTCAGTATTAGCATTCATATAGATCATGATTAGATACAGTTTCCTACACAAGGAAACAACACTATACTTGCAGATTAACCTGTTGTAATTTACCTGTGGTTTCCTTGTACAAACGTATCAAGAACAAAGACCTTTTAATTTCATTTTATACATTCCTCCTCCTATCTTTCATTGATGATAATCTGTATATGTGATATTCTAGTTGTTTTACTGCCCTTCGTTGGCAGGTTTTTTTATAATATACATATTTTTCACTTCAATATCAAATGTTCTCGTCACGATATGGCTGAAATATTGCCGATGTGACGTTAAATATTAACTCACTCACTCACTCATTGATGATATCTTTCATCCCATCCAAGTGGGGTTAATAGTTTATAATCAGTCACAGGATTGTTTGGTAAAGGCCCATTCATTTACCTGCTGCCGTCAAACACTCAGACAAATGCTGCGTTCAAAAGACAAAAGAAAAAAACTGTTAGGATGCAACCTAAAATATTCAAATGTGTCAGATGAACATATCAAACCACATTGAAATAGCAATAACCATTAAAGCAATTTCACCGTGACGTCACGTCCTGTGCAGAACGGTCATGAAGAAACACACCATCAACTTGATATGTTTGGAGCACAGGCTACCCACTATCTTCACTATGTAGCCATTGTGTCCTCGTGATACCCTGTGTATCACAATTCAACGGAAGGGATATGGAACACTGGAACCTTTTTCTCTGGCAGTTAGAACATACCATTTACACAGTATCCAACACAGATCAATACCATCACATCACCGATTACAGACCATTTCGTTCCTACTCATACTGAACGCTCATGATGAATATCATTACGAATCAGTGACACTTTCATATTATTTCACCGCCTTTTTTCTTTTTCTTTTTTTTTTGGGGGGCACCAGAGGAATCAGTTTCAAAATATGATTGAGACTAGTTCGTCTCTGATGTTTGCTTGAATATATGAACATAGCATACATTGTTTACATGGTTCAACATCAAAACAGTAGACGACAAATACATATGAGCTTTCGCTCATGCGGTGTCGTACATTGATTCGCCAACACATCATATTTCAGACCATTACATTGATAGATGCAATGTTTATTATATGTATAAATACATATGCAATGGTTATTACAAAGGGTTCAAGAACGCACAATGTATCATACAGGATGTGCGAAAATCAATAACGCCTACGGTGCAAACTAAAACATTGGTCGGAGAAAGGGGCTGTCTTGCAGGGACTGGGAATAGAGTTGGCTGTGGTGAACCAGTTTCAATGTTTCGAAAATGCTTGACAGAAGAAATTCTTCATCACTACTGTGATTTATTTCAGCTTCAGAGCTGTGCGTTTGTGCGGCTGAAACAAAATAACTTTTATTTCGTGTCTTCCTTCACAATGTCAGTAAAGATTATATGTGACATGCATAAGTGCCAAGTATTAGGACGAAAGACATTTGTCATTTTTTTCATGCGTTCTTCAGAAAACGTATATATTAGAAAACTACATTTAAGGGTAACTTCTATGAATCTCGATCTCGATTATATTATAAGCATGTGTTTATGATATAACGCTCCATTCAGTTGCCATCAAGTAGGAATTCATTCACTTTTCGTTTAGTATTAAATAACGCCTTATCTTTGAATCCTGAGTCTCTTTTCTATTGTAGTCTAATATTCTCGACTGTACCGCTTCATATCGTTCCTTTGGGGTAGTCGATTGGACAACACAAGATATCCAGAGTCTTCACCGCCTGACCAGAAGGATTATGTCTGATAACAGAGCCCACCACCCTCGTTCCTCTCTTAATCGTTTATATGTATCAATCAATTCGGGAGGTCGGGGTTTGATTAATGTGGAGGTTCTTCATGATAGAATTCTATTGTGTACTTTTGCACATATTTATTTATCGGATGGTCCTCTGGTGATATATGTCAAGACAACAAGGAATTCCACAGCTATTTTAAGCATACCAACGTTGTTGGACAGAATCTGAAATTTGAGGTTGAATTTGTTAATGGCGATGTACTGCTGCAGGGACGGTACAGTGATGCGAGTAAACCAGGAGATGTCCTTCACCAAGTCTGCCCAGTGTAGGTCATTTGTGGAGAAGCTTTCTGAGAAATCATTGCATCGTGCGTACATGCAGTGTGTGGAACAGAACAGTAATTCAACCGCCGCCTTCGCCTGGATGAAATCGGCTTGTCTTAAATGTGAAACTGAGGGGTTCCTTTTTGCTGCTCGGGGCCAGTCACTTCTCACTCGCAATCACCAAAATGTGATTCTTAGACAAAATATCAATATGAAATGTCGACTTTGCAATGAATTTACAGAGACTGTCCAACACCTTGTCAGAGGTAACCCTTCCTTAAACAGCATATCTTAAAAGATATGATGACATGGCTCGCTGCTTCTACTACCGCCCTCGCCATGCCTGTGGCTTTGACTCCGAGGTCCATCCATGGTGTGACCGTGAACATGTCCAGGGCGTCATGGATAATGATGCTTTTAAACTTCTTTGGAATAGGCCCATATATAGCCTCAGAAGTCTTCCAGCCAACAAACCTCATCTTGTCCCTTTTGATAAAGCCAATGAATTTGTTTATGCTATTGAATTTTCTGTCCCTTTTGACAGCAATGTGATTGGCAAGATTCAAGAAACACACGCTAAATAAAAATTTAATATAGACCTCGTCTTTGAAATGTCTCGCTTGCATCCCAAGTACACTGACGTCAGGCTCCCCATTGTTCTCCGTGCCCTTGGTTTGGTAGCTCCTGATCTCACGTCGCAGATCAGGAGAGTGCCTGGTTTCTCCACCGGGAGCACAGCCCTTCTGACACTCTGGGTAATGCAGAAGGCTGCAGTGTTTTCTCCGAAAAGTTCTTGGTGGGTGCGACTAGGCAGCGTTTCCTGGGAGAAGTCCCTGTCGCTGCCTGGGCTGCGTGTAGAGGGGGCAAGGGCCCTGGGCTGATGATGAGCCTTGCCAGCCTGACTGTGCCAAGATCACCCAAACTCTCTCTGCTGCATTTGCATCTCAATCTGTAAATCGTATTGATAATAATAACTTCTTGAACGCAGTTTGGCGCCAGTCGCTCTCCTCAACGGCGAACACCTCGCACTCTGCCATCGTTTCTGAACAGACTTGTTTTCCAGCCATACCAAGTCGTCGAAGGACTATCCGTCTGCTGTTTCAGAGTGCTGTCGCCGTCACTAATCTGTTCCTGAGGTGGATCTGCCGGATGTAGCGGTCTTCGGCCGGTGTCGTGACTTGTTGTCTGGCCTGTTTGTCGGTAAGGGTTTATCAATTAGCTGATTGTGGCCTGGTTGCAGTTGAAGGTTCTTGCCAGCTGACCTTGTGAAGACCCCCATATTAGCTATACCGATCGTTGCGCTTGCGCAAGTCATGGCATATTCGTGGTGGGTGTTTTTATGACTGCAAGCTTCCTCTGCATTTGGACCGATGTCCCAGAATTACGTATTTAACGTTTCGAAAAATGTACGATTCGTACGAAGTTTTCGGACAGCTGCCGTTGTTATCGGGACCATGTTGCTTTGGGGGTTCCAACCTGTACCAGCATTTATGTTCTTTATGCAATTTCGTTATAAATGATCACTTTCTTTTGCTCTGTAGTTTATTTTAGTAAGTGTTTTGCTTACTACAACCTATACCCATACGCCTCATATCTTACATTTGTGGTACCATTTACAACCGGTCAGCCCATGGCTTTTTCTTGTGGACAGTATTTATGAGAGGAATCATTAATGTAATTTTAATAAATCCGATATTATATCCGATAAAGTATCACACTTTGTATGCACGTCGTTATTTATTCCAATGTTAAGTATTTACACAATTGTTCGCTATCTGTCTGCATGTGAAGTTGGACAACATTTGCCAACCACTTCGTAATTTCAATAGGATACGTGTTTTTAAAAACCTATATATTTTGGGAGGGAGATAATCCCAAAACTGGCAGTCTCCAGATGACGTAATTAGGGAGGTGTTATAATCCGCTGCCAGAAATGGGACATGCAGAAATTGCACTGCCAGAAATGGGACAACTACCAGCACTATTTAGGACTAATTGGTCTGTGTGAAAATGAAATTGGGTTAATAAATCCTGTGTGAAAATGAAATTGGGTTAGTTAAGCCTTAATTAATCCATTGCTACCTACCTGATCAATTGCTACTTGGGCAGGTAAATCCTTTGCTCATCTAATGATTATGAACACAGTGTGAACACAGTGTGTTTGTCTTTGGGAACTTTTCTAAATTTTCGACAGGATGTGGTGTATATGGTTATGAACAGACTTTGTTGTGTACACTTGGAGACAGGAAATGTTTGGTTTTTTATTTTAATCGCATTTCTTTTGTACATTGAGAGAAGGAAATATGACTGGCATAAATACGTGTTAGTCAGTATTTTGGTCACACATAAGCATTATGATGGCAGAGAAAGGTGAAATTGTGAAGTCTGTGATCAGTGATATAGAGAGAGAGATCATGTTTATTTGAGTCTCACTTTCTGTACATTGTCATAGAATGCATGCGTTTTGTACAAAAGTTAATAGTACAGAAACCACCCGTTAGGTTATGGGAGACTATATTAAATCAATAAAAACATTGTGAACCAACAAATATCAGCACACGTATAATCGTATACATTTGAAGTTAACACGTACAGGTATGCATACATACATAACATATATACAACAAACATACATACAAACAAACATATAATCACATATACAAAACAGCATACAACCGCACATAATATACGCATACACGCATACATGCATACATACATACATACACACACACATACATACAGACCTAATACACGTATACACATCCACACACACACACACACATACATACATACATACATACATACATACATACATACATACATACATACATACATACATACATACATACATACATACATACACGCATGCATGCACACACACACACCCAATATACGCACGCACGCATACACACACACATACATACATACATACACACATACACATACATACATACATACATACATACATACATACATACACACACATAAATATACATGTATTATAATACATATACCCTTTAATCTGAACTCTAAGGTGATTCATCCAGTGAAATATCATGATTTTTGTTATACTTGTATACAATAAAATCTTATGACTTGCCAACCATGTTTCTTTTATTTGCTTGTGTCTCTCATGGTAAGGTATCATTGATCGATTAAGTTAATCCATTTAATTAGCCTACTTAAATCACTCAAGTCCAATTAGTAATTTATTACCTATCAATTAAGCGGTGTGAATAGCATACTGCCAGAAATTGGACTCACGGAAGTCGCACTGCCAGAAATGGGACAACTCGCTTGACCAATTAAAAGGTGTGATAATCTCACTGCCAGAAATGGGACTAAATCGTTGTGGAAACCCAATCTTTTTATTGTGTATAAAGTATATTTAAATCAAACAAAGGAATGTGATCAGATCAGCGCGATCTTTGTTTGAAGCTATGATTATTTTATTCTTTCACACCAAACAACGCATCTTTGCACACTTTCTCTAACTGACCGGCCTATATTTTAGTGTACATGTAAGGTACAAATACTGCGGTTCCTCACAAGGGACAGGAAAAGATGTATTATTATACCACCAGATAAAGGATTAAGAATATACTCCAACGCGTCGTGCTCCTGATGCAAATAGAATTTGACATCCTTAAATTCTGCCATTTTATGTGTTATATTTGTAATTACCATTTAAAGAAAATATACTTGCTACAAATTGTAAAATGCTGTTACATATGTTATATTTGGGATTACACTTCCTTAGTAAAGTACAGATTCTAGAACATTTGTCGGGGTGAGTCCCATCTGGGATTGGAACACACACCCTCAGTTTCAAGATACTAATCGCCAGCACACAAAGTCAGATTCCTAACTCGCTCAGCCACCGGTGGAAAGTGTAATCCCAAATATAAAATATGTTACATTTGACCACTTTCTAGATTGCATTGGGCATTAATGGAAAATACTGTGTTCAGTTCAAACGTGAAGGCAAAGTTACTCCAAAATTATGTTTACGAATGGCTTCTAAATGTTATTTTAGACTTTGTCATCTTCATACAAAATATGCCCCTTCTGAGTCAGCAATGACGATTTTATGACATTTGTATTCTGTGTAACCTTTGACGATGCATTCCCAAACAATTTCCTTGCTCCGTCGGTGTACGAAAATCGAAGAGAAATAGACACATTCTTTAAGAATTGTTTTGCACGTTTTATGACATAACTGACGTATACTACTCAAATGTCACACTTGTGTGCCCAAAGGCCCTGTGATGATTAATACTGTATGCTTTTCTAATGCTTGATATGTTCGTCAGTAAACACTGGCTCGTGCCCTTTTTGGCTTAGTGTTCCATAATCACTTGGAAATAGGACACAAAGTGCGCAGGGGATATATTTCCCTGACATAACGTTACGCTATGTGATATTTGATCATTTTAGCTCAAACCGCACAATCGGAATAAACAGTGAGCTCATGACCATTTGTTGTGTTGTGTATCCATGTGCCATCCGGTAGCTCCTAACAGTTCATGAATGAGGCATACTTTCATATATGTTACATCAGCCTATTAATTTTAAAGAAATAGCAAGCATCATTTTATTAGTGAACCAATTCGTTTTACTTTGGGCTCAGTCGCAATATAGTGTCATTATAACTCTTTATAGTGTTATTTGAAAACAAGTGACCAGGAAACAGCGACCAACGAAAGCCAACGTTATTAACCAGGTAATACTCTTTGTCACGAGTAGCATTAGGGACATATGCTGACACCACTATTGAATACCTAAACATCAGATTATCATTGCACTTAGAGTACACAGGTTTCTTGAATGATTTCTGACCATGCATATTTTTTTTATTTGAACACGTCATACGGGATTAATATAGATATGTCATCAACCAACAACGCTATGGCAGTGTAACGTATATGCAATAGTGAAAGCGTCAAAATCAGGAGGAATCATCGTTGCTCAATTTAGTAATGTATGTTTAATATCAGCGATGACTTTGGAAACCACAGTGAGTGTACACTGGTACAGATTACACAGCTCTACCAATAGGCCCACAGGTTGAGGTCAATGACGCTTCAATGGTCATTTTGTTGACTACCCGTGGCGGAACTACTCCCTGTGCTCTGTCTGTGCGATGAACCAACGACAAGCTGACTGGCCTTACGATTGATTGAATCCAGACATGACAGATGCCATACTGTTTTGCAATTGTATTATGTTGCAAAACAAACACATTCATCTTCTGTTCTGAAAGTCAATGTTCTTGGGCGAGCTAAGGATTAAAAATCAAATCAAATGAAAAGAACACAAAGTCATACAAAGACTTTTTGTTTTGTTCTATTTGCCTTTATCCAATCAATGAGTTTCCGATCATAAAGGTCGGTTTCTATGTTTGCGTGATATTGACAAGAAATGTGTTGTCGAATCTTGTACACCCTCAACCCTGATCATATTTATAAACACCAGGACATTTACCGAGAATTACTTCACATCGAGTAACTTCATAACCCATTCTTTTCACAGGAAAGTGCTCGTTACTCTCAACGTGGGTTCGAATCCCGATCATGTTTCTCAGTTTATTAGCACCATATCCGCACTCATATGTTCCACCAAAGTGGTACATACCTACGACCAGTATCACTTCAGTCTTTGCTCCAACATCCACCTGATATAACATGATGTAACTGGAATACTGTTCAAAGTAGCGATTAACCAAACTCACTCACTGCAATCGCCATATACGCAGTATGCTTACTTGAGGTACGTGTAAAGCAATAACGCAGCAGTGCGCACAGCCTGAGCAAATTTCCTAATTTCTTTCATTTCCACTGACCCTTGTTGGCACTTTTCCTGTGCTTGTTTGTTCTCCATTACAAATTTTCCATTAGACATTCTGATGGTTTGATTATACTGATTAACTTCACCAATGTATTTGCATAAAAGCAAATT